ATGGTACTCGTTTGTTACGTCACGGTACAACAACGGGAAATACCATTGAAATGCTTGTATCTATTCTGATAATAATGACCCGTAATAACTGATACGAACTTTGGCCTAGATAATAAAGCTATACGGCCGATCTCGGCCACATCAATAAGAAACATTAAAACATTATAACAATTTTATAAACTCTAGTTAAAAATATTTATGATATAGGATACACATATATAGCTATAAAATTTATCTGATTTATTTTTATATCTTTTTTCTTTTCTTTTAAGAAGGGCTCGGAATACCTCGTCTTGCGCCCAAAATATTCTAAATCCGCCGCTGCGTAACATTATGTTAATACGTGTACGTGGTTCCGAAAGTACGAAAATTCGAGGTGTGTAAATTTTACGAAGAGAGAACCCGGCGTCGAACGTCGCGGTCACGAAAGCATATTTTCACGCTAGGAGCGAAGGACGAGCTCCTCCCAGCGAGCGAAATTACCTTAAGAAGTGAGAAAATATGTGCACAGGGTTGTTTACGCTCGTCTCGTGTAGCGAGCACCCCCTCTTTCTCGGCAGTGTTTCAAATATATTTTCTCGTAAAAATATGTAAACACGTAACCGCGTTATCAATACAATTACAAAAATTAGGATGAGTCATCTTCGAGTCGGTTGTAGAGAAAAAAGAAAAAGTCACGTGCACGTGTTCAAATTTAATATATTTCTCCTGTATGAATCGAATGATGTCAACCGATAACAAAACTTTCATTTACAAATTAATTTTAATGGAGCTTTATATTGTCAAAACTTGGATTAAAAGCTTAATTAAACATTAAAAGTTAAATTAGCTTTATATAACTAATGTTTATTCATATTCCATTAGTGTTAAATATATTTTAATTTATTCTAAGCTGTTGTTGTCACAATATTAAATTAATCGATGGTAAATTATAGAAAATATCATAATATATAAAACTTTAATGTTAGCCTGATATGGTGTATGAAATATCACGTGGAAATGTTGAACACAATTTGAATAAATTATTCGGTAAGTTATTCTCATTAACAAAATATCGTGATGCCTGTGCCGAACATGCGTTCGACGAAAGTTTCGTTTTGCGCAATATCGCGCGCACGCCGCGCATTAATAATTAACACAATTACTTATTTTTCCAGAAAATAAAGAGTCTTTTTCTCTTTCTACACTGACTCGGATCTATTCAGGAAAGTGAAAACCAAAGTCAATGGTGAGACAAAGCAGCATTATTCTGAGTGCACTTGCTAAGTTTTATTATTGAGTCATTCTCAGAGCGTAAAACTTTCAAGGAGGCAGCCAATGAGAATTGCCTTTAGTTCTGATCACCGAAGACGTGCTATGTTGAAGGTGATTCACACGAAATATAGAATTCCGAATCGAATGCCAAAGAATATTTATCATTCCCCTCCGCATGATAGTATACACGTGATACATAATTTCGTTACACATTAATTCTTTATAACGTAATCTCTATCGTGCTCCAGTTTCGTAAATAATTAGTATTTCCTCGTGGCAATATTGCCACGTTCGTGTAATTGCCCGGCGAGCTGACTTGTTCGATTATTCTATCTAACGCATTTTATAAAAATTTTGCGTTAAATAACCTGTGTGAAAGTTTTATGAAATTAATTGCGATGTCGCGTGATCGATATTATACACACCCCGAAGATTCGCGCTTTGATTTTGACAGTAAATCGCAATTAATATCGCGTTTCTCCGATCGGTGGTAGCTCGCACTGGGCTTTGCACAGGTTCTAGACCTCTCACGTGCCTTATAGTCGACGCTACATAGACAACGAGTGCTACGATCGCCGCGTATATTGAACCCCGGGCATGTGGGCGTTGCGGCACACTCGGTTGTGTGCCACGTCGATTGAGAGGTATAAAAAAAAAAAAAAACTCGTGGAAATCAGATATAAAGACTCACTTGCACGCAACAGTTGACTCTCGCGGCTGCTTTGAGCGATCGACATGCCGGTAAACTCGAAAGTACATTTTAAACTGGTAGATAAGAGTTGGGGGAAAAAAAAGAACACGAACATTTCGCTAATCCGCGTTTTATTGTGATATTACGAGATGTAAGAGCCGCGCAACGATTCAAGATGAGCGAACTCCAAGTTCGGAGATTAACGCGCAACGACCACAAAGTGAAAAAATGCCGCGAGCTTGTAAATCGTACAATTTTTTTTTAGCATCGCGATGTATAAGCGAAACTGCAAACGTACAAGTTTCAAACGAATTTTTTTTCGAGGACGAATTTCGGTTCGCGTAGATTAACGAGCGGATCGCTACGAATGATAGGTAGGATCGGGTAACGACGCATTCCTCAAATCGAAATTGTTACGGAACGAAAATTTCCGAGAGAAATGAAAAGGCGGGGAGCGAAAACCGATTATTCTGTAATCCGTTTATTCGGATATAAGATAGCAATTAAAATCGTGGACAAACAAATAAGTGGAGAGAAAGACCGAACTCCGTTAATTACGTCGAAATTCTAAAAAGAAAGTGGGTCGCTAGATTCACGGATTTCATCTTTCGTTTTCTTTATACGTATGTACCACGTCAACTCACATCCGTGTGAGAAGAATAGTAGCCAAACGGAAGCGGCCAGTTCGTTTCAAAGCCAACGTAACTGTTATCACTCGCTTTACATCCCTATGAACTTTTCCGCCGTCACTTAAGACCGGTTAATTACCACGACTTTTTAATTACGCGGGGCAATGGAAAATAGAAATTGTCAGATGGAAAAGTTTCTATAATCCCCGTGACTTGCTCTTCGAATATTCAGTACAATCGTATCAGGACTCATACAGTCGACAGTTATTTAGTTACATACCACGCGTATGTGACATATTTACTCTCTCGCCCCCGTTTCCTCTAGATATAAGAATTAATGCAAAAGAGTCCGAGTGGGTGATTCTGTCTGTGCACGCGACGTATCGTCATCGGAGTGGTCGCGAGCGATGTATTTTTTTTTTGTTTTGTTTTTCGACATGACGGATACGCGGCTTCGAGATCATTGAGCAGAGAAAAACCGGTCTTTCCGCGCGATATCGCTATAGAACAATCGGTGATAAAACGCAAAGCGCCGAATCGCGCGCGCGCGCGCTACCTCGGTCGCGTGCTTTTTCGACGAACGGAAAACGCGTACGCGCAAAACACGGGTATACCCACGCATCCACATTTACACTCGTCCACATGTACACACACGCACACGTCCACGCATCGCACACGGGTACATGCTTTATATACGGCATACAAAATGAACGCACGTCGACACACTTTAGATGGCGATCGAACGGAAACTCGCGCCTGGCGTTTTGACTTATCGTCCCATCGAATTTGCTTGCCTCCCTGCAGGGGTAAAAAAATATTTGCAGGACAAATTGGTGCCTAAGGAAATGGCTCGTAACTTTGATTAAATCGCCCGCAAAAACGTGAGCCTTTTTCGTTGCAGATAAATTAAAAAAAGTAATTTTTTTTTATTCTTTCCCAGAGAAAGACAACATACTAAAAAAAAATACACATGGTACACAATAAACTATAAAATAAAAATATTATTATAAAGTTAAAATAAGAATTTTTCTCAATAAAAAGAAGAATATCCAATATTATAATAAAAACTAATCACTTATAAGCTGAATGATAATATAATAAATAGAATATTATGTATGAAAATTTGTCTATTGCTGTAAAGATTTTATAACGTATTTTATAATTTCAGGCTGTTCGGAGGCACGTTGTCTTGTTGGTAAATTTTATCAAACATTTAGTTTTCTTTGAATTGATTATTCAATACGCGATGCAAAATTATCCCAGCATGGTGAATCTAACCTGACAGTACGGTTCATTCGAATGCGTAGATCGACAGAGCCTCACTTACGTAAGACGCCAACGTCAGGTATAAGCCAACCAATCAATCGCGAAATCCAGCTTTAGTGATTGAGCAATAGTATACATTCACTCGCGATTGGTTTAGGGACTTATCACAGTCTTACGTAATTGATTCCAGTGGCTCTCGTTGCACGTACAAAAAAGACAATGATCGAGGTCTACATATACACTTTGGATTCACTGTCACAATACACGTGCTCGCAAATGACACCCGATTAATGTTGAAGTAGCCCTAAGCTTTAATGTCAGACTATCAGAATATCATCAATATTATTGATTGACACCGTTGTTACGTATGCTTGTGTGAATTTAATATGAATTTAAGATATATATGTCTTTTACGCTGATAAATATATTAAAATAAATGGAACCAACCAAAATTGTGGTTACGTCGCGTGTGACGATATTGACAATTACTGTTAAATTTAATATTAAATAAAATAAGGATAATTCAATCAAGCCGTGTATTCGAAATAAAATGAGAATCGAGAAGTAAATTTGTATCAGTTAAAAGCGTAGCGCGAATTTAATACAGAATACTCGGGGAAAAATTGGTGCTATCCGCGTCAAGAGGCCGCGATTACGATCGAATCGGGGGGGAACATGCGGTCGTGAGTATGGATCCAGAGCAGCATCCGGCCGCCATATCCCTTGCTCGATCGTTTTCGCGAGGCTTCGCCTCGGGCACGAGAGCCACTCGGACCGGCCACTCGAAGCAACAATATAGGCTCGCCGGTCCGTAATCGTGAGAGTTTGTCGACCGAAGCTTCGAGGGAATAACCCGATGTTGACTCAACGAGACTACCTCGCGTATTCTCCTAATTGAGAATGCGCCATTTTGCCAGCGCGAGTTTCCCGTCCTGCCGAATAAATAATTCCGTCATGAATCCGTTCTTTTTTTTCTTTCTTTCTTTCTTTCTTTCTCTTCCTCTCTTTCATCGAATTGACTAGAAAAAAATCTGCGAGAGATACTTCGTCGTTCCTCGCTTCCTATGCAACCCTACGCGTCAGCCTCATCGTCGGAAACGAATGCGCTGCCAGTCCTCGTGCTCGCCGTTTATCGGGGAGTTACCTAACGCATTTTTTTCTTTTTTTTTTGACCCGGGAGATTTCAAGTCTCCCAACTGACCCAAATCGCTTTGGCTTAGCCGTTATACAAATGTATTACCCGTCGATATTGTGCTGCACGACCGCCCAGACAATGACGTGGCCGGCGTAGCGTATCGTCATCACTTCCTCGTCCCTCTGGCTTGATGCACGTCGTGTGTGTATATGTATGTGTGTGTGTATGCATTTCCTATATGCACTCCGTGTGCGCGAGACGTCGCCTTGCGGTTGACGCGATCGACCGATCTTTCATTGCCGCGTTACACAGAATGTTTCCAGAGGAAAGGCCAATATTTTGAAAGATAATAGTGTCAATCGTTGCGAGTATAAGAGAATCTTAATGAACACATATCTCTGAATTTGGATTCTGAACGAGTTTGCGGTTGCGATTCTCGCGAAATTACCGCGAACTTGAGGATATGTATGGTTTCTGCATATGTGAAGGTTCTAATCGTAAAATCTTATTATAAATCACGATATCTGGGTACTCTTAAATACAAACTTCCGTGGGCAGTTTCCGAGTTATTTAAAGCATGTACGAGCTTCACTCGCAACGACAGACGGTCGTCATCTTTCGGACGTTGACCATTTTTTTTTTTCGGAACATCCTGTACAAGTTAACATTGTCGATATCGAACACTGGAGGCAACCCTCGTGACACGTACAAACGGAATCCGAATGTCTGCCAATCGGCTGCACCACACGCACCGCGCACAAGACATCTCTAACTGTGTCACTAATTGCCATCGATCGCGTCAAAGAGTCGCACCACTATAAACGCTCGTTTACAGGCGTTCGTTTCGCGACGAACGCATGGATGGGGGTGCTTCTTCGAAAGAGCCCAGTTATCGTTGATCCTCAACACAATCAACCGTGCGAGTGCAGTTCATTCGAGCGAAACGTTATGCACGTAGACAATCCTCCGGCAACCGCGATGTCAATCTCTTGCAGTATAACGATCCACGCGTTCGTCGACCTCTCGAGAGCTCCTTGCATACGCCTAGCAATTCGATTCGCGATATTTTAGTTATGGCAGTCTTTAGAGATGGGCTGTGCGTTGCTCGCGCCTTGTCTATGGCTCTATTGTATATCATACCTTCCCGATGGCAGGGTGCTATCGCACTTGCTGACTTGGATGGTATCTAGTTGAATGTGAAACTGTATAATGTCGTAGCTTCCATCACTGTACGTAAACGTGATCGTGAGCGCGAAACGCTTTCGTTCAGCGGCGAAGAGTAGTCCGAGCACAACAATAATGGCGCGTTATTTTTCGGTCATTGTCAACACTGACGCGATCACACTTAAACGCGAGATTTGTCCGACACATTTTTACTCCTTGTTCACTACCGCCCGTCCGGCATTCGCGAGGACGACTCTTTAATTTTGTTTTCTTCTTTTTCTTCTTCGTACTTCTCTTAGCAGTCGGTGTCGTCCTCCTGGTGCCGTCTACGTAGCTCCAGATAACGGTGCCGGGCGTCGCAGTAATGAAGTAGCGGTACCTAGACGTCGGTGCCGGTGCCCTCCTGATAACCCTCGTCGGGCGAGCTGCGCGTGGATCCCAGGACGCGCTTCAGCGCCGAGACCGGCGGCAGCACCGGGACGCCCTTCTGCCAGACTCTCATCTGCTTCGCGCCGGGCGGAAACTGCTCGACCACCGGCGCAACCACCGCGAGCTGCTCCTTCGACGGGTACGCGTTCACCGTGACGGCGGACGTCCTGCCGCAGCTGTCCCTGGCCTCCCACAGGCAGCTGGTGTAGAGCATCTTGCCGGCGTCGTCTAGCGCTTCGACGCGGCCGTAATCGGCGACGCCGTAAGGCGTGATGTCCTCGGTGGAGCCGCGCCGGGTGTCCCTGATGAGATCCGGATTATCGATCGGCATCAAGGATGCCGTCGACGAGAAACACCCGGCGCCCGGTATCGCCGCCACCGCGGGCTGATGATTCTGGTCGTCGAAACGGCTGATCGTGCTGTACTCGCTCTCCTGCTGCACCACGGCCGCGTGCGGTCTCTGTACGTAGCTCAGATGCAACGACGCGGGTGGCTTCGATTCCAGCGCAAACGACGTCGTCTCGATCTCCTCGTGTTTCCTGCGAGTGGTCGAGGTCGCGGATGGCGGGTTGTTGTCACCACCGCCGCCGCCACCGCCGCCACCGCCACCGTTGCCGACACCGTCGCTGGACGCCGCTTCCATCGGCGCCGACGACTTCACGTCCTTCAGCGGCATTCTACGCAGGCGAACGAACAGCACGAGGATGATGAGCAGGATGAAGAGTATGAGCACCACCAACGCGGCGGATATGCCCGCGATTTGGCCCGAGCCTAAGGTCGACATGCCCGCCGTTCTTAGGGACACGTGCAGAGTGAAATTCGCCTCGACGCAGCCAGCCGGGTTCTCGGCGACGCAGTAGAACTCGCTGGAGTCCGCCTCCTGCGCGTTGGTGAGAATGAGGGTGCTCCGCTTTCTGAATTGACCCTCCTCGAAGATGAGAATCTTTTGATAGCTGCTGAAGGCCGAGTGATTGGTCAGCAGCCGGCCGTTCCAATACCACTTTACCTGTGCGGGTGGCACCGCGCTCACGCGACACACGATACTGGCGTTCTCGCCGATAGTGGCCTCGGCGTAACGACTGGCTATCAGCAGGATCGGCCGGCAGGCGAAGTCGTCGATACCGAGGTCGGTGAAGGCACGATCGACCAACTGCTGGGGCCCGTGGCACACGGGCGCCACGATGGTCGGCAGATTATGCTTCACCAGCCACATCTTCATCTCGCGTAGATGGCAATCGCAGATCCACGGGTTGTCGTGCAGCTCGATGCTGGTGAGCTTGTTGAGCGGCTCGAAGGTACCTGGATGAAGGGTAGCCAGTCCATTGTTGCTCAGCTTGAGACTCTCGAGCATTTCCAGTCCGCGGAAGCCCTTGGCCTCGATCTCGGCGAGCTGCGTGCGCGACAGATCGAGCTTTACGAGATTCGGCGTGCTCTTGAACGCGTGCGAGCGGATCCGCTTGAGCGGATTGTACGCGAGCACCAGATCGCGCAGAAATGGCGTGTCGGTGAAGCTCGAACTCGGCACCGTGGCCAGCATATTGCTGCTGAGATCGAGCTCGACGAGATTCGTCAGACCGGCCAGTGCCTTACTGTCGATCCGGTCGATACGGCATTCACGCAGGTAGAGACGTTGCAGATTCGTCAGCTGCACGTGTATAAATATGTTGTTCGGCAGGTGGCGAATGTTGTTGCCGCTCATGTCCAGCACCTGAGTCTCCGGATCGATCCACTCCGGTATGCTGGTCAGGTCGCGATTCACGCACTCCACCGTGCGCTTCCCGCTCTTCCACTTGCATGAACACTTGTCGGCGCAATTGTCGCTGGCTGCTACGCCGAGCACCGTCACCGCGTACAGCAGGAACACCGAGACCCCCATGATGGATCGTTATTGTCGTCGTCGCCGCCACCGCCGTCGTCGTCGTCGTCGGCGTCGTCGTCAACTTTCGTCGTCCCGCGATTCGACTCGACTCTTCTTTCTCTTTTTTTCTCTGTGCCTTGCTTTCCCGACGACACTCGGGATTCGCGCACGTCGCTCAACAACGACCGAGAAGCGTTTTCCACACGGGGAAGCCTCTCGGGACCGATTTTACGCCCATCCTCCTCCTTTCCGTGTTCTCGCACTTGTATCTCTACCTTCCTTCCTCCCTAGCGTCTCTTTCTTACGAATCTCCTTTTATTGGCCGCTACTCCTTTCGTACACCACGAAATTCCTCCGGAGCTGCCTGTTTTTCGGAGCTGCGCACCGTGGCGAACTACGAGGGAAATCGAAATTGAACGGACCCGTCTCGTCCATTCGCCTGGGGAAATTCTTCCCCAGCACTCCTCGTCACTTCGGTGTTTCACGTACTCGCTACGTCCCTCCGTTCTCGCTCTCCGAGCAGCGCGCGCTCCGTCCGACGAGCCCAAACCATCGAGGACGTCCACCTCGGATTTTCGATCAGCCACTTCGTCGAGTATCCATTGGCGTCACACGTGCGCACACGCGACCAGCACATACGACGTCACCACTAGGCAGACGAGCAGGCGGACAGGCCGTCGTCGTCGTCGTCGTCGTTCTTACGTAAATCTGCGTCCACCAACGTGCATCACTCGCGTCGTTCCCCGACGAGAAGCTCCTCGACACCTCCGCCACGCCGTATCGACTGTAACCGCACCACTACCACCAGCGACGGCACCACCACCGCTACCACCAGACCACCACCGCCACCACTCACATCACCGACCGCCGCCGCTACTACGGAAGCACCCCTGTGATACCCGAATTCTCACGAGGTGCCCCGTCGTGCTAGCCGAGCGTAACGCTGCTCTCGTTGCGCGGGGACCAACGTACGAAGGGTTCGCGAGTGTCTCCTCAATAGTGTGCCCCTTGTTTTCTTTCTCTTTCTCTTTTTCTCCCTTTCACCCACGCTCTGTCTCTCTTTCTGTCTGTATCTGTCAACGTCTCTCTCTCTCTCTCCCCCTTTTTCTTTACGCTTCTATCTATCGTTCACGCGCGCGCGCGCGCGCGTTCCCTTACTCGAAGGGAAAAAACGGCGACGGCGACACCAGCGACGTTCGGCGTCGTCGTTGTTGAAATGCGAGACTGCGAAACCCCCGGCAGCGAAACAGAGAGACACCCTCTCGCGCGGCTTTCCTCTCCTCGTATCTTCATCTCGCGCGTCGTCCTCTCTCCGTCTCTCTCCGTCCGTCCGTTCGTACGTCCGTTACCCCGCTGACGTCCCCGCGTTCCTACCCTCGCACCCTTTAACACCCCCTCGCCCCGTTGCACACGCTGGGCGCCGGTCGGGAGGGAAAACGCCGACGCGAAGTAGGGCGCACCCTTCTTCCACGGCTCGCTACAGGGTGGTCAAAAGAACTTCGAGAGATAGTAGCGACACGAGGTCGAAATGAATTCTCCGTTTGAAGAGACGAGGTCCGAATTGTTTAACTTTACAAGTCTTAGGGGAACTTTAGAAGTCTTAGAACTTTGAAAGTTTTAACAAATCAGGGTAGCAGAATTTTCTTTCGACAGCTGGATGTCGTGAAGTTTGATAAAAGACCAACGATGAAAAATAATGAAATTTCTAGTGATATTTTCATCAAGACTAAATTGTCTAAAAAGTCATCAGAAGATACGTTGTAGTTTGAATTTATTATGACACCCCGTATATCGCGTATACACATACACACACGACCATCATGATTCGAGTCTTCGCCACCCCTCATACCCTGCAATCGCGCGCGTACGTTTTCCCTACATCCCTCTCTCTCTCTCTCTCTCTCTCTCTCTCTGTCTCAGTCTACCCTGTCTCTTCTCTCCCCTATGCTGCCTACGGATACTCTCCCTGTAACAAATCCCCACTGCCAACCCCCGGCGGCAGTGGTCGGCTCGTGCGCTCTGCACGCCGAGTCGAATCGGGAGCATTTCCACCCCCTACCAACGGTCGGGCAACCCCACCCTGGTCGCGGGGCGGGGGACACCTTCTATCCCTAAACGGGTATGACGGGGGCGCGCGCATATCGTAGTCGTCGCTATACTCGCCCCCCCCCCCTTCCCGGATTCCCTCATCCCTCCCCGTCACGAGGGCCTCGGCGCTTCGCGTCTCTTTATCCTCGGGAACTTTCTCCCCCGCGTTCTCCGCCACCTCGCCACCCCGTTCTGCCGATCTCACCGCCGAATCCCGCACTCTCGACATATCGAATGCTACGTCACAGCGGGGAGATATACGGCTATTTCGCAAAGTGGTTAAATGCACTGCCAGATTACGGGGGCGGAGAGGCGGCGGAGAGGGTTCTGGCGCCCGGTGCCGCCGTCGGTCCCGACCGCGATATCGGCTAGGAATCGTAGAATTCTATCGTAGAATTCCGCCCGCGTGGCGAGCGAGATTCGTGGTCTCCTAAGATCCCGTATTCCGGTCGCATACTCGGTCGCTAAACGCGTGCCTGCCCGCGATTCTCTTACCGTACAAATAAGCGGCGCTTCCTTGGGACGTCGATTAATTTTAACGATAGTTCAATTGCCTCTCCCCGTTCTCCTTCACGTTCGATGTTTGGAAAGAAACGGATCGTTGAACTTAAGAGGGAGGAGACGGCAGGGGGGAGGAGGGAGATTCGCTCAGAAACCGCCGCGAAAAATATAGTATCTCCCGCGATAAATTTACAGAGGCAGCAACAGAGAGATAGATATTTTATTCATCATCATTCATCGTAATTGAAAACACCCCCCCTCCCTCACCCATTCTTTCGTATCCTCACGACGCGGGTAACACACCCCCAAACCTGAGGTGAACGGATCCCGTCCCAGGGATCGCGGTCCTAAAGCCCACACACTCCGATGGCTACGCTTAGTGCGCTAAATGTGGCGGTGAAGATAGAAGCAGGAATACGGGTCAGAGTATTTCTCGTTTCTTTATACCGCCGTCTTCTCTTCCACACAGCATCCTTGTATCCTTCTCCGTCGCTATCGTCGCATTGTCGTCGCCTATATATATTCGAGCCGAGGGGATGTGTGTGGCATACGGACTCCCTCGACCGTACGAATCTCTCTTTCTCTTTTTCTCCCCCTTGCTTTTTCTTCCCCCCCCCTCCTCCTCCTCCTCCCCCCGTTTCCACAGAGTCTCGACCCTGCAAACGACTCGTGGAAAAATAATTCAGGAAATGAGAGAGCCACGACCGTAGAAAGATGGGATTTGGCCGTGGACGCGAGAGAAAGAGAGAGAGAAACCCCGGGAAAGAGGGCGGCTGGATTTGGCTACGCGACGAGAAGAATGACGCGTTAGCCGGTGGTGCTGGACGAGATGGAGGAGTGATTCGTAGTGTGTCGTGTACAAATTCTCCCTGGAGGACCTCTTAGACCTAATTGGCCGTCCGAATCGATATCTGCCCGTCCGTTGTCGGCAAAATTGCGACATGTTCTTTTCTCTCTCTCTCTCTCTCTCTCTCTCTCTCTCTGTCTCCCTCCTTCTCGCTAGAAAAAAAAGAGGAGGGACGATTCAAAGTGACGAGAAAATAAATCTTACAGAATTGGTCCTGGGTCGTAGAATTGCGCTTTCTTTTGTCATTTCATTTAGTGTGCTTTATGAAAATAAATAGAATTGATCGTGTTGTTTTGTTTGTTTTAAAAATAACGGTAAAATTGGTATATAAACGGTTTGAATCGTCGGTCAGAGGACGTAGCCGGAGATGGATATGCAAAAATGTATAGTTGTTCTTCTTGAAACTTGATCAACCGATCCGATAGAAAAAATAAAAATTTCAATTGTATATTCTTTGATATACAATACATTAATTGATAATGAATTAATTCATTTATTAGCAGGAAACTCTTTAAGGTCGAATATTTCTTTAGAATTAAAGTTAAAATATCCATACGTTCTGATTCAAGGAAAACAAGAAAAAATTCCGAAACCTGTAAACTGAAAGCGTCTACATAAATATATATCGGAATTTTTGATAAAATAGAATTAAAAATTTCATCATCTCTTCTGGGTGAAAGCATATCTCACTTTCGCCATTTTCCAAGCTTCGCAATAAAATTAGAAAAAACATAAATCTGAATTTATATTACATACATGTATTTTTCTATATAATAATAAATCATTAATTGAATAATTTCCTGAAATTAAACAGAACCGATAGTAATAAATAAAGACGAGACGTGGAGAAGAGTAAATACGATTAGAGAATGTGAGAATGCAGAACGTGTGACGGTGGATGTTATACTTGATGAAGGTGGACTCGTAAGTGTTGCAAAGATAAAGGAGAAAGAGAGAGAGTCATTAATGCGTCTTCGGGGTGCGCGATGCATCCGACGACGCCGTGATGGCACGGCCGAACGACGCTATTTAAGCGACTACTTAAAATCAATAGCGGCCCAACGTTTATATCGCGCGCCAAGGGTCTGACAGCATAATTCTTATGCCCTCTTCTCCGCCCACTCGCCGAGCCACGTCGGCTTGTTCTCCACGCGGATTCTGCCCTCCGCAGATCCTCCTCCTTTGAAAGAGCCGCGGTGGATCGCATGGAGCTGGAGAGGCTTACGATAACGGATAGCATCGAAATACGGATGCTTATCCGACGGTATTGAAATATCGATGTTTCATTTTCGGATAGTGAATGCGTCTCATGGGACTCTTACTTTTGCTGACGGCTCGACATCGAGAAAGCATCCCACGTACGAATTTCATCGTCTGCAATTTTAGTTTAATTAATTTTAGAAGCTATATTATATTCTCACGAATAACTCGTCGTTTGGTGCTATAATTTTTGAAATATGCAAGTGCCGGTGGCTCTTACTACGATACTCCACAATCAATTCATCAATTTTTTCAATTGACATCAATAAATATATATAGATACGAGAATAATATAGTATCGTTGAGACGAAAATGTTTATTGCATTTGCCCGATATTGATTTATCTGTATTAAACCGTATTAACACGTTAAATATTAAGTAGTATTAAACGCGATTAAAAGGAAAATGCATACTTCGTCTAGCGATAAATTAATGTGAGCCGTATTATAAGGATACTTCGATATCTCCATGTAACGTCGCATTTGACGTAATCCGCTTAAACGTGCATTAGCTGCAATAATCCTCGGATATACCTACAAAATATATTGCGAACTATAACAATAAGTGTTCGCAGATGTTTCGAAATACGAGTAAATAATGAATAGACTTCGGCAATAACTTCGTGAGTGGCAAGATACATCTACAGAGAACAATCTTCTCTTTCATATGTATAATACATTAGATCAATTTGTAAATGAGATTATGTAATTGACACAATTTAAAACGGATCAAACGACGAACTTTTTAATAGCGTGGTAGCAGATTAATTAAAATGCTGAATAAAAAGTACCTTAGTAATTGGAAAATTTCAAGACTCAGGATGCGATTCACGCGTACAATGCAGTCTTGAAAATTCAAGTAACATAAAATTCATCCTGTTTATCTAATAATCTTGTTAAGGATCACACACGAGAGAGGATCGTTTTATGTAAGAGGAATAAGCTTGGAACGACGAGTACCTCAGGATTTATAACGTAAAAAAGAGTTCATGTATTGTGTGTACTGAAACAGAATTTTTATTAAGAGACAGTTTTGCTATTCTGTCTCTTCAAGGAAACAAAATTGACATACGACTCATTAGAATGGGTTTGAGCAAACAGAAATGGCGAAGACAAATAAAAAAAAATTTTTTTTTTTTCATAGTCACGCGCAAACCCATCTTTACAATTTGGAGAAAGAAAAATAACGTTACTTAGAACGAGAAAACTGTTTTGTATAATTTTGTTTTATACCGCTTAGAGATTGCTTCCAAAACGGTAACACCTAACGAGAGTAATTGTCCTGACAAATGTACATAAAAATCAGAAATACAGAGAGAGTATTTCATCTGCGCACAATTACGCGTGAGCCGCGAGTTATTTGTAAACACATACGTAAGCTGCATAATACCGCGAAATCATTTTTGCCGTATTACCCATTTAGGGACGCACTTTCCGGTTTCCTTAACTGTGTAAGCCTAATTGCATCAATTATAAAATACAAACGCAGCAAAGGTGGTTCTAGAATGTGGGGAGCAATTTCGCAATCTTATGCTGCTTGCAATTTACGAACAACTGAAACTCAAGATTTCAACGTCACAAAATAAATCGATGTCCATTACATATTGTCGAAAAATTCTTTCGTTCATACCTCGTTAATAATAGTAGCAATATTAATAATAATAATAACAAAATAGTATCACATTATATTAGCAGCTCAGGTATGCCATTTTGATGATTGGTTTTCGCAATTTAAACAAGTGTACATAATAATAATAGTAAGTTCTTTAACAAAACGGTAAAGTGGATAAACTGATATTGTTTTATATTTCGAACGAATTATATTTTTTTTTGTTTTTTTTTTTCACGAATATTGGAGATCTAATTCCAATATTATTAATCGAACTGCGTATGTTATTCAAACGCGGAAAGATTGTTCGTTTGGATGTTGAACTTCCGATGCAATCAATTCTCGGTTCGTTTGTTGGGAATGTGCTTGCACGCAGTTCGCCGCATTGGGTTAACCCAATGGAAATAATTCAGGCGAAGGTACGAGATCTACGAGATGTGCTGTTAGAGAGCTCGTTCTCAAGATGTTCCCCTTCACACTTACGATTTAAATCGTAGACATTGAGAAGTAAGAAATTTGTTACCCTCACCCCGGATGGGATTGGGGACAGAGAGTCCTCCGCAATTCTCGCATGTTACCCGGATGTTAACACATTTACCTCCGAAATCGTATTTCTACGCTCGCACGAATTACATTCGCTTACTTTCATATCAAGGGCACTCCTTGTTATATCCAAGATTAGTTGCGCGAACCGCACTTGGATATACCTCATGGATCAGACGTGAAGACGTGGTAAAAGATACCAAAGTAAAAAAAAACATTTACTTTGGCAACTTGCAGCTGCGAAACGCGCCACGGATATACTCAACTTATTTTCCAGCATTTTTTCTTTTTTTTTTTTTTCGCAAAAAGGAGACTCGTCTGTAATTTGGAATATAAGAACGGCAATACAGGTACGGCTGCAAGAGAGGTAAAGATTATAAAATTACCACGTTCTTCAGTCTGTTCACATAACATTGCTAATCAATGTTTCTTTCGTCTTTTTTTTTTGGATTTTTTAAGCCCACTTTTTTTTAAGTTTATATATTTCGCATAAACATCATTCTTTAGAAAGAGTCAAGTGCAGCACGTAATATTGTAAATTTTGAATATCACTAAATGGACGAGTGTTTTCGTTTAAAGTCTTTGAAATATTCAAACATCGTTTATCAATTATTTTGAGAGCACTAAGTAGTTTCAGTGGGAAATAATTTTGATTAGATTAGAATAGGCTTGTAAAATGTTTTATAAAATGAAAAGATCTTAAATGCTTGCTTCTTAGCACGGGCTAATTGACTCTTTCGAAAGTTGAATAAAATACATTTCGCAAAATAGACTCCATAAAATGGATCTATCGATGTTTCCAATTACAGCGCAGTAAGACTAAGTAGTTTCTTCTTAGTCTACGTAATATTGCCAAAAGAATTTTCAAAAGGATCGCCATAAGCAAAACAAGTAGAAGCTAATAAGAATAAGAGCAGATTTTTTTTTCGTAGTTTGTAAATGGGAACATTTCGCAGATTAAATTGGTTTGGCGAAACAATTGTTATTACATTGAACCCATTTACGTTTGTATATTAAGTAGATAATAAAAATGAAGGGGGACCGTAATATTAGACTATGACGCAATCGTATGCGATTTTGAGCGATCAAATTAATATGCAGTGGGCGACAGATCATTTGATCAACAAGATCGCACATTTAGCTTAATTCATTACAGTATCTTTGCAACAGTGACACAAAAAAGAAATAAATTATCAAATCGTAGCAGATATAATTGCCTGGTCTTGCCGGTCTGCTCTGGTTGTTCATTTTACAATGTGGTCAACGGCAACCATAACTATCTGGCAGATTATTTGCTTTCGTTACCTCGGTCAAGCAAAAGACAGCGCGCTGAATATATCAGAGATCACTCTATTGTAATCGTTAATGGATATCACCGATAACAAAAAGTTCTCGCGGTCATCAACACTGACTTCTCGCTCGTGATTCAATATCTGCCCGTATTGTAATCACAACAGTAGCTAAGTTGTTAGAGAAATTTTGCCGAATCGAAGACTTGTTGAGGAAGCAAATAGAAATGTAAAATAGAAAGACGCGTAACGTTTGTTGATTACGGTACATCGTGTGTTTCGACGTGAACAATCATCGTACCGCCTTCCGTTCCAATATGTAGTAATTACACTTTGCGCGATTCATTATATTCATTATATTACATTGTTTTAACTTTCCTTCGTCTAATCGCGCGTATGATCACGTATGTATGCGTCTGTAAACTGGGCAATAAGTCGCAAGTGCGATTATTTTGCAACTTATAACCCTGTTGTGATTATTTTGCAATTTAAAACTCGCTTTGCCACAAAATCCGCGGTGAACAACCGTTTTGCAACTTATAACTCGATTTGCAATAAATATCCGCGGTAAACAGAAACGGTAATCGCGCGGGGATCGTGTTACGTTTACCTAAGGATTTCTTCCTTCATGTATATTGACGAGTCAGATTTATGGCATCAGGAGTGTATACGCGATCGAGAGTGTACACATTTTCCAAAATCGTAGAGCTCTACACGCGAAATGAATTGCATATCGTAAGACGACACGAGAAACTTGCGAAGCCCGCGATAAGCTAACTCGCGAGTATGATAACGCATATTCGTTTACATTATACATCTTATATAAAAATGCGAATCTGTCCCTCCGATATTTAGCTAGCCGGGCCTACGATGGTATACCCTCTACGAAAATGGAGATTCGCGGAATGTTTCTGTACTCGACAATACACTTCGAACTTGCATTCAAACTTAAACCATGCCCCCGGTACGTCGCTACGAACAAAACAATTACGTATATTGGTCGAAGGTTGAAGGCAGCGAGCATGAACAACCATTCGTCCAGATCAACATTCTGTACACGTCTGTTCAATGTCCAATTGTTTACAATTTTAATTTCCTCTTTTTTTGTGTCAGCAGTTATCTCATTACTGTTTTTATCTATTATCTACAGTTTCCCGTGATAAGCTCACAGTTTCTGATATTACAGCCCTAAATACATTTTAAACCGCCTTCTATCACCGTTAATATTTCATTCGAAGAGGATTCCCCTCAAATACGAAATATTTTGGTATCGCATAGTGTTCCATATCTTTCACATCCAAAAACCTAAGTCATATTTGGCTGGTGGCTTTCGAATTCTTAAATTTCAACCCTATCGTCATGCATACCGAACAGTAAATTTCCTGCACATGTTTTTTACTCTTTCTCGTGCTTATCCATAATTTTATGGAGATCTCTAGAGATTCTATGTCGATATTATCAATAATGCAATAACTTTGGCAGTTATTTTATCTTTCACGAGAGACAAGAGTATTTATTCAGTGCACTTCACATTCACATACCACTGTGAATTGTGTGTCAGTTCCGCATATTTGCACTTAATCCGCTCCATTATCAGTTAAATATTCGATTTATTCCACGTTTTTTCATTAATTTTACCAATAAATCCTCGTAATTTTTTTTTATTAGATCTCAATTTCAGCCTCGATAGACTGTAGTTGTATAATTAAATATAGGCTGTGACTGGACACATATGTTATTATCAGCATCAACCATAGAATCTCTGTTTTTGTATGGAGTCCACCAGCCAGTTCTTTATAAAAAATAATTATATAAAACTAGTCAATTGTACAACCTCTGATTCTCAATCACGATGTGGTAAAAAGAAAATCCAATTGCGTTTAAAAAAAAAAAAGAAAAAGAAAATTTCACTAGTAGTTGATTGAACAGAAAAAAATACAGTTTAAGCGTTGACAAGTGATTTGAATTTCAGAGTTGTATGACAATATATTGACAGATAGCAAAATCAAGCCATGATCAAATATTACAACTGATATTTAATATCCAAATTTTATAAATCGCTAAGGGCAATTTATACTTTTATATATATATATATACATTCACACGACCCTTATTGGTGTTAAGGACAATTTATATATATATATGCATGACAGTACAAAAGTAATGAGCACATGAATCAGTATGTTGTACTCAGTGAGATTGGCCGATAGATTTTCTAAATCATATATGTACGCCCCTTTTTTCTTCATTGTCGTTACATAACAGAAGAAAAAAAAATACTGGAAGAATGAAGCCCTTGTATAAAAATCCTCTATTAAAACGATGTTGTATGTCCTCGCATGTAGTATTTACAGTTATGATAAAATGCAATGATTGATTATTATGTTATTCACATATCTGTTTACATATTGTGCATCTTGATAATGGCTTGACTCTGAATTGCTGTAGCTTATGTACATTTAAATGTATTTATGTACAAAGAAAACCGTTCGCACCAACATTTGCGCGACACTTCAATCACTCAGGCTCATTATTACTCAGACTTAGTACGCTTTATTTACAAGTGAACTCACTCTTTGACACACTTTGACACACACTTTAAACTTTTTTTTTTTTTGAGCGTGTGTGAAGCTTCATTTTACCACAGTGCATCGAAACTACTTGGACACGTTGCCTTCTTCCATACTATTGTCTTCTGGTTTCGCCACGTACAAACTGGGGTCTATCACCTTTGGGATAGGTTTAATTTCTGTTCCAAGCTCTTGTTCGATGCGGTGTAGATTGAAGCGATCTTCATACGTGATTAGGTTAATTGCTATACCTAAGTGGCCGAATCTTCCAGATCGGCCGATTCGATGCAGATATGTTTCTGCCATCTTCGGAAAGTCAAAATTGATTACGACATTTACAGCCTGAACGTCAATACCGCGAGTAAATAGATCACTGCTCACCTGCGAAAAAGAATTTAATAAAAATTATTTATTTAATAACAATTTTAATAAAGTTTAATCATCAAATCAAATATAGATACATTAGTAAAATTTTTTTCAGTTTTGATATTATTTGAAAAAAAGTGATATAATGTAATTATTACACGCATTTAATTTACACGTATATAATTAAATACAAATACATAAAAATATCTATATAATTAAAATTTAAATAAATTATTTAAATTTCTAAACTAAAAATGTTAATATATATTTATTAACTTACAAGATTTCGGCATAATCCTGCACGGAAATCATGGAATACGCGATTTCGGTGTGCCTGCGCCATTTTCGCGTGTATATAATAACAGCAATACCCAAGGTCTGTTATTTTCTTAGCCAGTAATTCGACGCGTTGCGTTGAATTACAGAAGATTATGCTTTGCGTTATTTGCAGCTATAAAAGTAATAGATAAGTTAATAATTACATTTACTTGGTTTACAATATTATTGATAAAGAATTACGTAATCAAATTAAGTTTAGCCTTACTTTGGAGAATAGCGTGTTAAGGCAGTGAACTTTTTGTCGTTCCTGTACAAAAGCGTAATATTGTGTTACGCCTTTTAAAGTCAACTCTTCCATTAAATTAATCTCGTATGGATCTCTCAAGTGTTTTTCCATAAATTGTTTCACAGTCAGAGGAAACGTAGCTGAATACAGCAAAATCTGACGTTCGTTTGGTAATCTAGACAGAAAATAATACAACCAATGAATATAACAAAGTAATATTAAAGAGTAATATAAATGGTTATTTTCAATAATTTGATAGTATTATATTGCACGCGTAAAAACGCAATATATGTAAATATTTATATAATACTAGTTAGTTATCAGTTTTAACAATATCAAATGAAAAATATGGCAGTGATACGAGTTAAAATTGCAAATGAAATAATATAATTTCAATACTTTAAGCAAGAGTCAATTAAAGTTAGTTATTGATTGGTCAGTTTGATACACTCGGGAATGTGAATATGTTGCAACACGCCTCAATTTGGTAAGACATGTTTGGCATTTCAAGCATTTTAATTATATAAAGTGTAGCAATGCATATACAAACGCATTTAAAACAAACACTGTGTGATCAACCTTAATTGTCTCTCATACAAAAAAAAATATTGAACTTGAGATTTTTTTTGCACAATTCTTCATAGTTATCCGCCTACCGTACAAGAAGTGTGCGATCAAATAAATTCTGTATAAAAATGTGATATTTGTGTATAGACCCACCTCGATATTACATGATCCAACATTCCTTTAAAGTCTTGCGATAGCAGTTTGTCTGCTTCGTCCAAAACTAGAATTTTACAATGCTCCATATTTGCCACATTCTTATCCATCAGATCAAGGATCCTTCCTGGCGTTGCGATTATCACTTGTACTGGAAGTATAAATCACATATGGATTATAATACATCGGTAGACTCACAATTTTATTTATTGAAATTATAAACTTTCTTCTAGATTCTACCTTTTTGATAAATCCTCATAATGTCGTCTCGTAAGTTAGTTCCTCCAGTAGTAACCATAACTTTTATTTCCATGTGCTTTGCAAGCTCAATACAAATCTGTGATGTTTGTAGCGCTAACTCTCTTGTAGGCACAATTACCAGTGCTTGGATTACGTCTTTCCTCGGGTCAACCTGAAGCAGCAACATATGACATTAATAATAAACACGCGACAAATATTCAAAATATTTGTTTTTTTTTTTTTCAAACTAACACCTTTGCCATACCTGTTCCAGCACTGGAATTGAGTACGCTCCCGTTTTACCAGTTCCATTTTTCGCACGTGCCAAGATGTCCTTACCAGAAAGTGCGATGGGAATACTAGCTTCTTGGATCGGTGATGGCTTCTCCCATCCCTTTTCAAAAATTCCCATCAATAATTCACGTTTTAGGCAAAATTCTTCGAACTCGTTACCACGTGTGTCGGTAACATCCTACAAGATAAAGTTCATAATAAATTTCAATTCAGCAAGCTTAAGTGCTTTTAAGAATCTCTCTTTGTCTACGCATAATAATAAATTGATTTCGAAAAAAAAATCGTAAAATTTTTTTATATCATAAGAATAACTCGAATCTAGAGATATAAAAAATTTAATTTTTCCTTATTTAGTAATTTATTATCAATTTATTTATTTTTTTTTATATTATATATCAACTCACACTTGTTTTAATTCTTTTATCCTTCGGTGGAATTTTTAATTTGGCTTTCCAACCTACATCATCCATTTTATCTAACTCTGATTTGTTAGACAAACCAGAATTCAACATATGATTAGAGTTCATATGCGTTTCGGTCATCATTTTGGAAATACTGTAGTATATCTACTATCTTTTTTCCTGATAAGAAAAAAAGGGAAAAGAACACTATTACACACACATACACACTAGTTAATATTATCGCGCTACGTTATAATTTCTTTGCGTAATATTTAAAGTCGTATATAAATTTTATTCATTATGTTTATAATTATCATTATCATTAATTACACTTGTACAACTTGCAAAATTAATTAATAATTGATATCATAATTGTATAATAACTCCGATCTCGTAAACATATTCGAAAGTATGCGTGCTAGGTTTTTATATTAACGTCTGAATAGAGTTCCAAGGAGAGGAAACAAGACCAAACAAAATTGACCTACGGTTGACTGTATGCCTTTAGGTATCGTGTTTGCCGTTATGAATACATTCGAATGTGCCAAGTGTTTTTGTGTTTGGATGTGGAAGGCAAGCAAAACTACTGAATACACAGTAGATTAAACAGTTAACTGCGTCACAAAAAATTCGATTTCCTTACCGTTTGTAATTTTCAATCGCGAAATTTATACAGTTAGACGAGAGCTACAGCTGCTTGCGTAATATATATATTTTTTATTATTAATTTATTTTAACGAGCCATTATATCTCCTCAAAAAAAGAGTTAAGTTGATTTGAAATTTACGAAAAAAATTATATTCAAGTACAAATTTTCCATTTTAATCGTATTGTGCGCGTTAAGGAAGGAGAGAGGCTCGCAAAGCGGTATATTAAGATTCGACACATACACGAGATCTGTTATTATGTGCGGAATGTTCAAAGTATTACTCACACAACAAAGGGGAGACAAAGGAACATTCTAGATATTCAAAGCTTATCTCCGTTACACATCTCCGGATGACGAAATTAACCGTTCTGAATGTGCAGAAATTCAAAAGGAAAACCGGCAGAAGAACGGCGAGAGCACCGAGAGGCTCGCCTAATCGCGAGTATCCCCCGCGATTAACGGTAGCCGATATACGTCGCTCGGTCGAATCCTGGGGGGATTTCAACCGCGCAACGTTCGAAACCGTCGATAAGGGGCAGGCTCGTGGCGTGCGATTTTGCGCGTTAAAATACACCGTGGCCGGCTCGCTCCGGCTCGTTTCCGCGCGGTTCCAACGGACGCTGATCGCGAGACAGGGGGAGGGGGGAGGGGAAGATACTTCTTTTTTTTTTCTCTATAGAATCGAGCGACCGGACGATTTCTCGTTTCGCGCTGGCGAAAGCCCCCGGAGCGATACCGTTAGGCCCCGCGTGCGGGACTCCTCGCGGCGACGGCAGCGGCGGGCCGCCGCCGTCGCCGCGCGGGGCGACGCGTCGGGAATGCCGGGATGGGACGGGAAAACCAGGCGCCGGGAGTCGCGAGCGGCCGCGCAACCGTCGTCCGCGTGCTCCTTACCTTGAAAGCGAATGGACGTCGATGCCGTGTTGTATGTATGCGCGCCTCGGGCACTCGATCGGTGGGAAACAACACGCCAAAATGGCCGTTTCCCAATGTCAATGATTTCGCCGGACTTCACGCAGCGCCAGCGACCGCGTCGGGGCACCGTTTTCTCGTTCGGTGTGATGCCGCGCCGCTCTTTCTCTCTCTCTCTCCTCGCTCACTCCTCTTTCTCTCTCTCACTCTCTCTCACACTCTCCTCTCGCCCTCTCTCACTCTCACACACACTCACACTCTCTCTCTCTCTCACACTCTCGCTCTCCCTCTCGCTCTACCTCTACCGCTTCTTTATTCGTTACGCCTCGGAAAAAAAGCGTTCTCGTGTATAACACGCGGTCCCGACTATCAAGTCTCTCGGTCTGTCTCTGCGACTCGTGATTTGCGTTCCGCTTGCAGTATCTCGAAATCCCGACTGATGCACTGCGTCGAATGCGAGCGACGATTATTGCTTGTTCGGACTTCGGTGTACACGATCCGCACCATGAAAGAGTGACGATACCTAGACGGCGAAGCGACCGTGGCCGTTCCGTCCAGGCGTCGTCTCAAGGCGGATTCTCATCGGAAAGTCGCGGCTCGATTACGGACGGCGAAATGCAGGAACGGATTCATTCCTCGCGATCTAAAGTCTTTACACCTTCTGGCTTCGTCCCCTTTTCAATTCGCCCTCAGTTGCGCATGTCGTTCGTTTCAATTTCAGATAATATAACGTAACGTGGTATTAAGAACGGACCCATATACGTTTGGCAGCACGAATCACGTGCCACGTGGTTCGAATTGTACGCGGAGACCTGGCCAATCTCCGCGTGCCAAGTATGTGGTAAGGACGCGTCGCCGACGAAACGAAAGTTGAGTTCGTGCTCCGGTCTTAAATTAAATTCCGTTTCAACCAAATTAAATCGTCGTAGATAATATTTCGATTTTCAATTTTATTTTCAAACATAATGATGAATATTTAGATAATTTAACATTTAAATATTAAAATAATTTTGTAATTACAAAATGTAAGAAATATAAGATAATTTCAATACTGAATTAATTTAAAAATAGTCTCGAATCTGATTTCAAATGGCAATGACCTTCAGATTCCATCCAATCAATATAACTATTCGACATCTCGAGATCTCAAAAATATCGGAAATATTTTTCTAAACAAAATTCAAATCGTAAACATCGAGAAGCCCTATAATATAAATACAGTTTCATGAAGCTACAGTTTCGGCGTAAAGTTCGCGTAATCGAGTCCATAAGCATAAATTACATATCGAATCATGTTAATAAAGATCACACATCTGTTGACAAAAGAATCGAAATTTTATTGATGAACATAAAGTACGGCGTAGAGTTTGATCATGTAACACACATGTCGCTCGCGTCAGAATTAATGTAACGTAATATATCGACTTTACATTCATTTACAAATGCATTACACGTCGTGTTGAGAACGCGCGACTTTGACAGCCGCCGGTACTCCTCGCCGTGTCTCCCCCGACACGCATTCACGGACAAGGGAGCTCCTTCTTCTGGGATATGCGATACTTGCGGCAGGCCTCCGGACAGTGGCGCTCCAAATAGCGCCTTTGCGAGAAGGCTTTAAAGCACACGCCGCAGCGCCACTGCCACTGATGATGATTACGTGTCCTCTGATGTGCGCGAAGATTCGAGCTGCAATCACCCCAAAATTAATTAATCGCGCGGCGCTCCTTGTAATTAACTTGTAATAAAATGAGAACGAAATGTGCATCAAGATTATCATCGCTTCCTCTTTGTCCCGATGATGCGCTCTTTTATAGCTTTTTACAGATCTTTCATTTATTTATTGACTGAACTTTCTATTTTTAATTTTAAACCCAAATTTTTACTCTTTTAATTTCTTTTTAATGTCCATTTCTGTAGAATGTAGATTAACTTTTATCTCAGTTGATTAATCTTTTTTATCTTTCTCTAGTTCCAAGGAATAAAAAAAAAACAGGAAGTCACACCGAGATTAAAGAATTAATCTACATGATATGACATGATAGAAATCAGGATCAATTATCAGGATTTCTCGTCAACGGAATAAAACCTGGAAGCGCATTCCTATACGTTCTGTTAAAGTTTAAGGGAGTCCTGCTGCGGAGTATATACGTACCGATCGGCGAAGGACTTGTGGCAAACCGGACACTCGAAGGGCCGCTCGCCCGTGTGCAGGCGCAAATGGCCCTTCAGCACCCACGGCCGGTCGAAGCTCTTGCGACAATACGGGCAGTAGTGCATCGTTTTATTTCTCTTCCAGTGCTGTGCGCCCTCCCGAGCGGGCGCTGTCTTACCCTCGGCGACGACGCTCGCCGCCTCTTGCTTCGGCGGGATTTGCTTCGGCAGCAAATACAGGGCCTGCGAGAGCGTCTGCGTCTCGCAGCCGTCGATCACGACGGGACTGGGATTTATCGCGCCGGCGATTTTTCCCGCGTCCTGCAAGGTCTGCGCCGCCGGACCCGCCGATCCCTCCGCCTTGGAGCAAAACGCTCGTGGCACGCCGTCGAGCAATATCGCCGACACCTTCCCCGCGTTATCGATCACGCGCCCGTCGATCGACAGATGAACATCCTGGTGGGGTACACTTCCGAAGTTTCGTCCGGCTGAATTTAACTCGGCGTCGAGTGACGCACCGTTGGTCTTATGAAAGCTGTAACGGGTTACGATGGGAAGCCCGGAGCAGGTCCAGATATTGCTCGTCTTCGACGACGTGTCTTTCGCATGGTTCTTTCGCTTGAGATTCGCGGACGGCGGCAGCCACGGGAATTCGGACTCTGCAAAAATCGATTTTCCGTCATTCGAAGCAGGCGCGATATTTACTACCGCAATAATTGAGATTTAATGCGTGTTTAAAAGATTTATTGTTACTTTGAACGGTGGAAAGTAATTCTGCAATAAGTGAACGAATTGAAAAGAGCACTTGACAGAAATAAAATTTAGATTTCGCTTATCAATACAGGTATAGTAATTAATCTCGAACTTTTGAAGTATACGTTCTTCGTGCTAGCAAGAAAAATTAATGTTTCTCTTTCTTTCCTTTCGGTCGCAGGGAAGTAAATAAAAAGATGTTATTATTAAAGTAAAAATAACAAGCTACACATAAAAATTCCTTCGTAAACTCGTTTTACTACATCCCTACCTCGTATGGCTCATGCAAAAAGTATTTTCAAAACTCGCTTCTTAACAAGTAAATTTCTATCCGTATCTCTGTGTCGAGAAAATCACGTGAAGAGGAGAGACGCACGGCATGATTATCCGCTGACTGATGTTTATTATTGTGACAATAGTCAAGGTTAAAGTAACGATCGCGGGCAATTCGTCGTAATTTCAATGCTCCTACAAAAATATGTGGCACGTGCCAGAACACTTTGTAGACGATATCGCTATTCGGTCGTGCATTAAGAGCGCGCAAGATAGTCTTAATGATATGCGAGAAAAGTATATCTTCGTAAAAGAAAATACCTTCGTTCGAACGGTCCGTCCTGTGGTATCGCGCCATTGACTTTATCAAGCAACGCGGCATACTGCTTAAGATAAATAATGTAACTTTCTGTTTTTACGCTATATTCGTTCGCAAGGAGTACGGAAGAATCTTTCGTCTCTCGCCAGCTTCCACTGCAGCAGTAAAATGGCACTGTCGTGGACCCGATCGGCTTTTGTCCCTTTTCGAGCAGTAGCGTATGGAAAGCTCGAATATACCTGACAAATAATTATGATTAGGATATAATTTTAGAATTTTATCAATTTTGTTCTCCCGCTTGATATTCAATTCACGTCCATGTGATTTTCCCGACAATACGCATATACGTCTAAATCACATGTCTTTATGACGTCTAAATCATATGATGTCTTATGACTTTTACAGACACGCATGTTATCTGTAGACTACGATTAAATTGCATCTAGAATAAAATAATGATCTTGCAAAATGAGATCAACATTAATTATCTCATATACATAAAAGTATTATCATTTCAGACTTATCCGCGCGCGTTTATCGATGCGTGAAATAGAAATCTATCATTCTTATTTATTTATTAAAATATTTTGTATTGCATTGACTTTTATATATATTATACATATTTCGAAATCTTTTTGTTCTGATCTTTATTATTATAATTCCTGCAAAATATAATTTATACGTTTGCTTTAAGATTTCGAAAAAAATTGGCTAATATATAGAACGGAGCTATACGTATATTTCACGGCAAACCTATTTGCACATATTTCTAAAGGCTGTGTTGTCAACAGTGACCTTTAAACGTCATGATAATTCCCGTGTGGTGGAAACAAGGAATTTCGAACCATCGTATTCGGGCACGTCTCAGAATCGCTTCAAACGGCGTCGTGATCGGATCAGAACGTGTTTTCTTCTTTTAAGATACAAGAAATATATATGAGCTTTGTACATGTACATAAAAACGTCCATTCACTGTGGTAAGTACATTTTTCTTTTTTTTTTTTTTTTTTATAAAATTTGCGTACACATTCTATTTTTCCAAGATAAATACATACGAGCGTTATTATAGTAACAAATTGAAATATTAAATTTACACATATTTATAATTAAATGCAATAAGTTTTCGTTAAATTGTGTATATTTTATATGATATTAACATATATTCGATAATAAAATATTCTAATATATCTAAAGAACGAAGTATACAACGCAAAGTATATTAACGCAGCATATTTAGTTAATATTAATATAACGTTATAATATATTTGTAAAAATTTAACATCGTAAAATACGACACTCATTAAAGAAAACATTTTAATATGCGTGCATTTCCTCATTGAGTAGATTTAATTTAAATTTTAATTTCACGATATATTCACTAATACATATAAATCGTAATTCGAAAAAAATACATTTAAAGATATATATTTTAAAAAATGTGAAAGTAATTCTTGCTTTTTTGCATATGCTATATTTATTTATTACGTGACAAGCATATGATATCTTATGTTAGATAAGAGTATACATACCTTAAGATATGATGTAAGTGATGTTGCTCTTCTGTACATTTTTGATAAAACTTTTTTAGATTGTAATTAAAAAAGGATTTGCTGTACTATTTATAAAATTTATTATTTTAATATTTCGAGTGATATCAAATAATTTAAAGAATTTAACATAGACTCGCCTTCAGAAACGAAGTTCGCATTGTGTTTCAATTCGGATTTGATTCTCCAGACAAATTTCATTTAAATTCCTCACTCGAATCACTCGATTACATTTATAACATCGCGGATATTAAATTCCTTTAAGATTTATTTATTCAATCGTATTCCGTGTCGCAATTGATTTCAGTTAATTTCTTCAACAGAAAAGTGACTAAAAGTTTGAGGCTTATTAGTGACGCATATATACAAATAACTTAGAGAAAAAATAATTGAAAGAGGAAAAATAATTAGTAATTCTATAGCAAATCCTTATTCGTTTTACTACAGTTAAATTTTAATGTATTTATTTGCAGGTCATGAATCGTCTTGTGCTAATATTTATTTGCAACTTTTTATATATTTATTTATCTCAAGCTCTATATGAAAAGAGAGGTAAGCTATTCCGATAAAACACAAAAATTTTATTTTTAAATCAATTTTTTGGATATAAATCTATCTGTTGGAATTTGCGAATACCGACGCATCGAAAAATTAATCAGAAATTATATAATTCCTTTACTTGTATATTTCAAAATATTAATGTAATAAAAATTGTGTTGCTAGAAGCACCCTCGGAATTGTCGCCACAGAGACTCGAGAGATTTATCTTTCCATTTTTTCGTATCCATCGCATCCCTCACGACATTGACTTACCAGGATGCCCACCCGATCATTTCGCATGCAACGATGGCAAATGCGTAGAGATGAACTGGAAATGCGATGGAATCCCGGACTGTAAAGATGGCGAAGATGAAGCAAACTGCAAATACAGTAGCTCAGTGAGTATTATACAGCACATATTGTTATCTATTATCAGTACCGTTTCTAAAGTTTCATCTATTTTAAATTTGCGATATAGGTTTTTAAGATAAATAGCTTCTATTTCTTATTGTTAAATCACACGTTACAATTTTTCACTTAAAAAATTACAGATCCTTTCAAGAATCTGTAACTGCAGATTATACGTCCAATCGTTATACTTTTCTTCCGCTAAAGCACTATTCGTTTCCTTTGTTTGACTTTAATACATTTTTTTAAATTAAATTAATTTCAAGTAATTTAATAGACGAAATAGTTTTTTCAAAGAAAATTCTATGGAAAGATCTTTTGAAATAATGCTTCAGCTTCAGATACTTAAACACCTCAGTTTTATTATTACGTAAGGAATAGCTGTTTGTAGCTAACACTTGCTTAAGTTATATTAATATCTGAATAAAAGACTAATCAAAAGGATAATGTCTTATTTCTTAATCATTTAACGTTAATTTAAATACGCAACAGAATGTACGCGCAGTAGTAAACAACTTTTTGTTTTCTTTTTTTTTATATTTTAGTCACGTTCTAACTTAAAATGCAGCAAGCATGAATTCAAATGCAAAAATAACATAGAGTGTATACCGCAAGCAAAATTCTGCGACGCAAAAGAGGATTGTCAGGATGGAAGTGATGAGTACGATGGCTGCGTAAATGACGTGAGTGAATCGACGCGAATCCTTTGCGTGTTGTTAACATTTATTTCCATTTATTTTTTTTTATTTACGCTGTTCATCTCGAATAGTAATTCGCAATTTTGATTTTGTTGCCACAGTTGCCATGTGACGACAAGTTCCGGTGTAGCGACCGACATTGCGTAATTAAAGAATGGGTTTGCGATGGCAGCGAGGATTGTTCTGATGGCAGCGACGAATGGAATTGCAGTAATTTTTTAGCAATATAGATTTATTAATATAATGATAAAATAAAAATTCTTATCTTATTATCTATCTTATTATCACGTAGAAAGACTTTCTTTACATGCTCTTTTATACTTTTTCAGAAGGAGAAAATAGAACGTCATCCGCGAGCGATTGTAAAATAGAGAATTACCAATATTTCTGCGGAAATCAACGATGCATATCTCTTAACGCCGTGTGCAATAAAAAGGATGACTGCGGCGATGGATCAGACGAAGGTGCCGGTTGTAAGTATTTACTATAATTGCGTTATATTTCAGTATATATTTTAATTATTGCATTATCTTTATCATATATTTTAATTATTATATTGTTTTCTATTTTGTGCAATTTCTAAAATAAAATTATGTATTTTGTGACATAATTTTCGCGTGATTTAATATACTATAACGCGCGCGTTAATTATTTAATTTTCTTTCAGGTACACCATCCAAATGCCCCAGCTCGGTAAAATGCGATCACGAATGCAAACAAACACCTAAAGGAAGTATATGTCTCTGTAGACCGGGTTATAAATTACAAAATGATAACCGCACTTGCATAGGTAAATCTATGATGATAAACAAAAAAGCGATAACAAAATTCGTGTCTCATTATAGCTTAACGATTTTTTTGTTTCGCAGATATTAATGAGTGTCAGACTTATGGTATATGCGATCAAGAATGTGTAAATTCACAGGGATCATATAATTGCATGTGTCAAAAGGATTATGTCTTGCAAGGCGACAAGAAAACTTGCAAAGCGCATGGTAAATCATAATAAAATTATGATAAAATTCGCGAGTATGTGCAATGGTGCATATTCATTTATATTATATACATTATAAAAATGCGAATCTTTCTTTAGCTGGCGAGGCTACGATAGTGTTCTCTACAAGAACCGAGATTGTCGGGATGTATCTCGACTCGAAGATAACATTTAAAATTGCGTCAAACTTAAATCATGCAGTCGGTGTTGCTATGAACGGTGACGACGTATATTGGTCGAATTTTAAAGGAGACAGCGAGATGATTGTAAGAAAAATTCACAACAGTAAGGAGCAAGAATCAATCGTTACAACAGGTAGGCGTTATATTAATGGCATTTTTAAATGCAATTTTAGTCTTTGCAGAGAATTTGCAAAAATGGAATAATTATTTTAAAATATTTTATTTTAAAATAAAAATTGTATATATTGTAATTTATTACAATTGTAATTTTTGCAGAGCATTTGCAAAAATAACTTTCTACCATGTTATTATGCCATCTGTCTTTTTTTGCAATACGAAATAAAATAATATAATAAGAATTATAATTGTTAACATATAATAATAATTATAATGAATATAATAATTATTTATTATAATCAATTAGAACATTTACATTAAAGTATTAGACCGTAAACAATATCTCGTTTTTACTCGTTTATGTATATAGTCCATGTACTTTTGAAATTATAATTAGCTTAATATATACAATTTTATATTAATATAATTTTTATATATCTGTGTATATTATATATATATAAAGATATAATGCGTCTCTTTTTTTACGTGTGGAATAATTATTTTAAAATATTTTATTTTAAAATAAAAATTGTATATATTGTAATTTTCTACCGTATCTTTTAAATTTTTTTTGTATATAGGCTTGTCGTTGATATCGGGGATAGCCGTAGATTGGATCACAGAAAATATATATTTCACGGACATGGGTTATCATCGTATCGGAGTTTGTAATAACAACGGCATGTATTGCACCGTATTAATCAATGATACTGATAAACCAGCGGGAATTGTTTTATTACCAACTCGTGGGTAAATATCACACTTTATAAAAGTTTATTTTTAAATTCTATTAATTATTCTTTTCTGATAAACTAATGATCTTATAAAAATATCAGGAGAAAGAGAGAGAGAGAGAGAGAGAGAGAGATCAATTTCTTATAAATTGATTTATTACTTTATCTTGATCTTGGAGAAAACTGTTAATTCTTAATACTGCTATTTTATTGTAAATATCAATCTTATTTAATCTAATCTACGTATTTTAGAAATTTGGTTTGCATATAAAATATAATTAATAATATAATATCATTTTACAAAATATAAATAAAATAACTTTTATCCTTAATATTTAAATATTTATGGTCAATTAAACATTAAGCCAGCATTATTAATTTTATTTTAAGACTATAATAAAACGATTACTATTGAATTATAACAAGTATATATGTATTATATTTATAGAGAAATGTATTGGTGCGATTGGGGGGGCTCCAAACCACATATATCGGTGGCGGGAATGAACGGGAAAAACATCCGCATATTTGTCTCTGAAAGCTTAGGATGGCCGAAAAGCATGACTATTGATTATCCGAACGATCGTTTATATTGGGTGGATGCCAAGTTAAAGATAATCGAATCAATACGCTTAGACGGCACCGATCGAAGAGTTAGTTGTACACTTGTTTCTTTCTTGTTAATGAAATACTTTAAGATACAATTTGATATTCTACAAAATTTGTAACTCAATTT